GATATTCTTTTGGGATGTATCTAGCTAGTATAAGAAGTTGATGTAGAATCTCTAATTATTTTGTGACATTTTCAGTTTCGATGCATGAACTGCGGCGAATCGCCTGACCACTGGCAATACCTTGTCGTTAACGTTGGTTGAAGCGCTTCCTCTTCTTTTTGTCATTTCCACTTTTTGTTTAAGGAGGTTCTGGAAGTCCCTGGGAGCCGAGGAGAAGCAAATTTGGTAGAAAAATGCAAACTTTGCAACCGGGTCAACACTGTCAGTGCGTTTTCCTGTTTTTTTATATACTTATGGATTCTAATTTATAGAATCCTTATGAATTTAGTAGCTGCATCACTTCTGTATCCAAAAGACCCCATTGGAATTTTAGAAGCAGTAAAACTTTTGAGTGGGTACAAAATATTGGGAATACTCGGTCTTTGCAAGCTGAACAAATTATAGTTTGAACTCTGTTTTTTGAAAATATTTTTGAAAAGAGTTCTCTTTAAGGGTTACTCTAGGTTAACTCACTATTGGCCTTATAAATGCAGCCTGTGGTGAAATACTCATGGACCATAGACATTTTCCAAAAAAGTCTGTATGTTCTGAATTAGCCATTGAAGCCATCATTTTACTCTTTTTCATCTGCATGTTTCAAATAATCTGTCTACTACCGTTAATAAGTATTCCGTTTTCTTTAGCTATCATACCCGATTCTATTGGATCATATGATGCTGAGGAGCATAATGAAGAATGGCAATCCATGCTACAGTTTGACTGCCGAGGCTTGGAACCGTTTGACTTTGAACCTCGAGTAAGATTGTTACTCGTCTTGCATCAATAGGTGTTTAAATGAAAATTTCTTTAGAACGGATGGACAGCAGTAGGCATCGAGTCGGGCACCGTTTTTGATGATATCGATCTTTCTGAAAAGGTAATTTGTGCTTTTATTTCTTGCACATTTTTCTTATGTTTGGTTTAAAAGTACAATATAATTTATTTTCAAACGCTAATTTCTTCGCGTTTTTGTTTTGTTTTAACCACTTGTTGG